TATATATAAAAGGTAGCGGAGTAATCACTTATAAAGCTAGCATGAAGGTTAAAAGACCACTATGAGGGGCACCTGGGTGGCTCAGTCAGTTAAGCATCCAGCTCTCGATTTTGGCTCAGGTCATGATCTCACCATTCGTGAGTTCGAGCCCCATGTCAGACTCTGCAGTGACATTGCAGAGCCTGCTTGGGATTCTGTCTCTCTCCACCACCCTCCCCCCACCCCTCTCCCGTTCACACACGTGCTCTCTCTCTCAAAATAAATAAACATTAAAAAAAAATAAGTAAATACAAGGGGCACCTGGGTGGCTCATTCAGTTGAGCATGTGACTTCGGTTCAGGTCATGCTCTTGCATCTGTGGGTTCGAGCCCTACATTGGGCTCTGTGCTGACAGCTCAGAGCCTGGAGCCTGCTTTGGATTCTGTGTCTCCTCTCTCAACCCCTCCCCTCATGCTCTGTCTCAAAAAATAAAATAAAAACATTAAAAAAACACAAAGACAACTATGATTATAATAGTTAAGGGATATGCAAGATAAAAAGATGTGAAATGTGACATCAAAAATATAAAGTGTGGTACCAGAGAGTCATTATGTTGAACTTTCCAACAGGATCAAACTTGTTATCAACTTAAAATAGCCCACGACAGACACAAGTTGTTATATCTAAGCTCATGGTAACTACAGAGCAAAAACCTATAGTAAATACACAAAAGAGAAAGAGAAAGGGGTATAAACATATCACCAAAGAAAGTTATCAAGCCACAGAGGAAGAAAGCACGAAGAGAGGAACCATGAAAACAGCCAGAAAGCAATTAAATGCCATAGGTGTATACCTATCAGTAATTACTTTAATTATAAATGTACTAAATTCTGTAATCAAAAGGCATCAGGTGCCTGAATGGATGAGAAAACAAAAAAAAGACCTATATATGCTGCCTAGAGACTGACTTTAGATGAAAGGACACAGAGACTGCAAGTGAAGGGATGGGAAAAAATACTCTGTGCAGATGGAAACCTTTATTTATTTTTTTAAGTTTAAATCAAAAAAATTTGTAACTGTAACTCATTATACCCTATGCTGTCACCTGCTGATAGTGTAGGACCATCACTGTGATATTAACCTAAGCAATATAATCAAGGGCTTGATTCTAGAATGAAAATTACCAGTTGATTTGGAAATCAGACATAAGAAATTAGATCACTCAGCCTACTGCTGTCATTTATTTTCACTGATAATTGTGATTTTACTGTGAAACTTTTGTTTTGTTTTTTTGGAAAGGTTGTATTTGAATCCAAGTAGGAAGAAAGAAAGGTTTTGGTGAATTATAGAAGAGTGTATAATTTGTTTTAAGTAATAAACAGGACTTTTTGTCTTGAGTGTTTTTCAGATTACATTTATAATTTTTTTGAA